GGCCCCCGCTGCCCCGCCCCCCGCTTCCGCCGGCCATGCCATATTCACACAATATACAACTTCAACATACAAAAACTTCAAAAAATCAACTTAATGCCTAATTATTTTTTTCCTTTAGATAATTTTGTAAGAACATGGTGATCAGAATATATATTGGACTCCTTTTGATATTGATGTTGGTAGTAATACCGTATATAATCATGATGAGCAACAACTTACTCCAAACAGGCCTAACGGGAAATAAGAGCTTTAAGACGGGCCTAGAAGAATCGTTCCAACCAAATTATGGTACCGGTAACAGTACAGTTGACAATATCAATGGAAAAATTCGAAACCAAGATAAATCCAGTTGCGTGAAGAAGGTTTTGATATGGTGGAAGACGGATCTTGCTCGTAAAAACTATGGATACGGTGGTACAGAAGGATTGATAACTTGTCCTAATTTTGATTGTTCTGTCGATATATCGTATGCAGAAAATGTATCAAAGTTAGTTGATAGCACTATTGTAATATTCCACGCTAGTTATCATACAGATCTCGTGGACTACAGGTTGTTCCAGTCGAAACGATATCCCGACCAAATATGGATATGGCAGACGTGGGAAAGTCCGACTCGAGTTTTGGAATATGTAGATAAACCGCCAGGTTGGTTTAAATTTAATTTGACGATGTCATTTAGCTCGAAGACTGATATTCGCGTACCGTATGGCTCGTATGTACCTTATGAACGGCCCAAGCATCTACACAGTAGGCCTAATGCGTCAGAGATCAACTGGTCACACGGAAAAACAGATTTAATCGCCTGGGTTGCGAAAAATTGTCGGGCAACAACGTGGGCCAGATTTAAGTTTGTCAAACATCTACAAACTCGTCTACCTATTGATATATACGGGCAGTGTGGCAATTTATCTTGTCCTGGTTGGAATGTACCATGTGAAGCTTTAAATAAATATAAATTCATTCTTGCCTTGGAGAACAGTGAGTGTCGTGATTACATTACAGAAAAGTTTTGGTGGTGGCCATTTTTATATAATCTAAACCTTGTTCCGATTGTTTATGGAGCATCCAAAGAAGACTATCAAAAAGTGGCACCCCCAAACTCTTTTATTCATATATCAGATTTTGATACCCTGGACCAGTTTGTAAAATACATTAATCTTCTCGATAACAACAAAGGCCTTTATAATAAATATTTTGAATGGAAACAGATGGGGCACGTTGTTAAAGGTAATAACTATTTCTCGCCGTCGCGTATATGTGCTATTGTCCAAGTCCAGCCGCCAAAGCATCATAATATCCATAACGAATGGTGGAAGCACACATGTACACAGCGTAGACAAAATTGGCATCCATTTATTAACACATCTTCAAATGCCAACCAAGAATATTAAGCCTGTCAGCAGTTCTTATAAAATTATATTTCAATCTTATATTGGAAAATTCCAGACCCCATTGACGGATAGCTAGCCCCCTTCAACCATCCAACCAACAGGCCCGTAGCCAGGGGGTTTTTAGGGGTTCGGGCGAACCCCCTTTTTCAGCGAACCCCCCCCCCCTTTTGCCAGCGAACCCCCTTAACCAGAAAACGATCCCCGTTTTCAAAATAGTGCAATTTATTACAAAATGGGAGCATTTTTGGCAATGTTTATTTGTCGCTATCGATCGTAGTCCGATCGTAACTAATCAAAACATATTAATGAGAGGTTTGTTGCCGAGGCTATTTGACCAATCGCGTGCTCCGGAGTTCATTTACTTAGGCACGACGTCATCACAAAAGTTTGGCCGCTCGACATTTTTCAGTTCTCTGGGATCGAGGACATGCGACACGCCAAAAATAGCCTGAGGATGAAGCGCCGAGAAAGGATAACCGATTTTTTTGCTTCAAGGCCAGCAACGAAGAAATCACGAAATTTAAGAAGTTAGAAAATTCACCCTTGTTTTCACCACATGCTCATGGTACTGCCTGGCGGCGGGACCAGTGTACTTTTTCGGGCTAGGCTTAGGCCCTAGGTCTAGCGTTGGAGGGTAGGGTCGTAGCCTATGAGGCCTATTATTTGCGAACGATTTTATTATTTATTTTGTAATCGAGCTAGCATAGGCCAGGGCCTAGGCTAGCAAGGAAATATACTTGGTAATGTTTTCACGTTTCGTCAGAATTAA